TTCTTTATTGGTTTTGAGTGTTTATCTTAAAACTCAAGTTTCTTCGTTCTTTGCTCTTGCTGTAAATCGAACACATTTGTGGAGTTGTTTAAATATGTTGGATTTTAAATATGTTGAATTTTAAATATATTGGATTTTAAACTGTCATACAATTTTTTTCATCGATAGTCTGTAATTGGAACCATAACTCTTATTTATTCAAATTTTATTAATATATAAAGACCAAAGGTAACTTATATCATCGTTAAATTTTATCTTATAAAACCAATAAAACTTCAAAATCGTTAAAATTCATTGTTCCAACCACATTGGATACATATATGGTGTAATGCTAAACATAGACGCATATTTTACGTCCGTATTTGTCCTTATCACACCATATTACTACCGACTGCACACACTTCTACTCGACGCTTCTTTCATCATTTCTTCTTCTTCCACCAATTTCTTTCTCCTACCAACTAACATATGGCCGGAGCAGCAAAACCCGACGAGCTTTTGGCACCACACCCACCAAGAGATCAGCTTCCAAATGTCTCCTATTGCATTACAAGTCCACCCCCATGGCGTACGTCACTTTCTTACTAATCCATTCATTCACCCATCGAATCATTTATCTACCTGTATTCCTTCTGAAATTCTACGGAATTCTTGATATATAGATGCAAAAATAGCTACAATTAAGGAAGAATTTAACATTTGTTACGCTAATTAAGAACAAACTCATCGACAATTAGTTAGGCTAGCTTTATGAATATTGCCCTTTATCGATAGCAGGTTTGTATTGAATCTGTTTGATGTTTTGCTTATGTGGGTGCAGCTGAGGCTGTGCTGCTCAGCTTTCAGCATTATCTAGTAATGCTTGGCACAACGGTTATCATTCCGACTGCTCTTGTTCCACAGATGGGTGGAGGCAATGTATGTGTGATTTCACAATCACAATTAATCACCCAAAAATATAAGACATCTTGTTCATATCTTGATTATCTATGTTTGTTATTCAAACTCTAGGAGGAGAAAGCCAAAGTGATTCAAACTCTGCTTTTTGTTGCTGGATTGAACACATTGCTGCAGACCATGTTTGGGACCAGATTACCTGCTGTCATTGGGGGTTCATATACTTATGTTGCACCCACCATATCGATTATCCTTTCTGGTCGGTGGAGCGATCCGGATCCCGTTGCAGTTCGTGAATCAAATCCTTTTGAATCTTTTTATCTCGAGTGTTTGAATATTTAAATGAATCTTTCTCCCTCCTCTGTTTTATGGGTCACATCAGTTGAACCTGTTTGTTGACGAAAATGAAAATGAGAATGTTGAAATGTTGAATGGCATAAATGAACTCATATGACTAGATTAACATTATCTGAGCCATACGGCGATAGTTGGTTTTTGGGTGGTATGCTTGCAGAAACATAGACTTTTGACAATCTTGCCTAAAATATGTGTTGATTCTTGTTCTTGTTCTTGTTCTTGTTCCCTGCTCAGAGATTTAAGAAGACAATGCGTGCGATCCAGGGTGCGCTCATTGTTGCTTCAACGGTTCAGATTGTTCTCGGKTTCAGTGGCCTCTGGCGCAATGTTGCAAGGTTAATTTGAAATTTGGCAAAAATATATTAGTGACATAGAAATATTCACTATGTTACAACCCTTCAGGAAAGGATGAAGGTTCCAAGTCTAGCTGATGTGGGACCCATCACGCTCCCTTAAACGGAGGCTAGACAGTGCCCCAAGAACGGAGGCAAAATAGTGTGTCTGAGTCCCTAGGATGTGTTAGACTCTGGCTTAGATACCATGTGAAAATATATGGAACCTCATTAGAACTCTCCAAAAAAGCCACTGTAGAGAGAATAAGTCTAGCCGATGTGGGACTCCAACGATTACATGGTTTTGTTCATTTATATTACCATCATTCATCTTTGTAGGTGTTTGAGTCCACTTTCGGCTGTTCCTTTGGTCGCTCTTGCTGGTTTCGGACTATATGAATTTGGATTTCCTGGGGTGCGTAAATATGGATACACATTTATAACAGCATAATGTATTCATACGGTCTCATAGACACTTATATCAATTGGATCCGAATTTTCTTTTGTAAGTTTAGGTTGCCAGATGTGTCGAGATCGGGCTGCCTCAGCTCATCTTTCTAGTTGTTCTATCTCAGGTAATATTTTGAAAAAATAGAAACTTTGCTGTATGCTACAACTTCTTTATCAATTTAGTTTTCTAAATTGATATGTGCAGTACCTATCCCATATGATGCATTCGGGAAAGGCTATATTCGACCGTTTTKCTGTTCTGATCTCTGTTGCAGTAGTTTGGATTTACGCTCACATACTTACGGTTAGTGGTACCTACAACCACACAAGATTAAGGACACAAGCAAATTGTCGTACGGATCGCGCTGGACTAATTCACGCTGCTCCCTGGTCAGAAGACATTATTATATTTCACTACGTAGCAATAATTCCCATTACATATAGAGGAGGAAAATCAAATGATAACCATAAAAAGGTTATAAACTAAAATGGTTATAAACTAAAATGGTTATAAACTCGTCAGAACCGATCTACAAATTTGCATGAATTTTTTTCAGCAATGCAAGGATTGAAGGTATTATTTCACATATATTTGTTTCATAATGTAATAGTTTCACATGTATTTGTTTCCTAATGTGAAGCTTTTTACATGTATTTTTGTTTCACAAAGCGAAAATCTTTTACGTGTATTTTTTGTTTCACATGTAAAATTTTCACTATGTGAACACAAATATGTATATGAAAGAGTATCTTAAATCATAGTCTTTGATGATAAAGATCATGTAAAAAATATTTTTATATCGGTCCACACGGGTTTGTAACCTTTTTGTGGTTCTCATTTGATTACCATTATATATATATATATGTGTGTGTGTGTGTGTGTGTGTGTGGAGAGAGACAGATCATGCTAGATAAAGCAGTTTCATGAGACACACAGTGAGCCCTTGGATGAAGCTTCTTTATCTCGCCGAACCTTCACAGGAAAACACCGCATCGTAGAAGCAAAAAACAGCAAATCTTCACMGCAGAACTCTGAACCTTCATACGACCGAACCTTTACATGAAAAAGAACATGAAGAAAACCTTCACAGGAAACACATACCAAACCTTCACAGTATGTCTCACGAAAAGTGGCTSGTCTCACSGAACATTCTTTACAAAGACCATTGATATGGAAACATTCTTTATTGCTAATTAATATGGGACTGCATTTTCAGGATAAGTGCTCCATATCCTTTCCAATGGGGTGCACCGTCCTTCAATGCTGGTGAAGCTTTTGCCATGATGATGGCTGCTTTTGTTGCTCTTGTGGAGGTCTCTTTTTTTCTTTTTCTTTTTCTTTTTATCAACATATAAAATCCAAGCTTTTCATTAAATTTTTAAGAATTTTTTTCTATTAAGACTTGTTTAATTTTAGTGGCTGTTTGGTTCAGACTCGGAATGAACATGAAAGTGACTGGGATTACAACAGTCAATTAAATAATGTTTTAAGACATGCACTTTGGATTACACCGTCTATTCCTTTAGTTTATTGGTTTTCTTTCACATCTTTTGCATGTGTCCAATGGTGTGATCAGTCTACCGGAGGTTTCATTGCAATTACAAGATATGCAAGTGCAACTCCCTTGCCACCATCTATTCTAAGCCGAGGTGTAGGTTGGCAGGTGACTATCGATTTTTTCTCTCGTTTGTGATCACATTATTAGAAGTTGCTGCACAATAACCTTTGGAGATTGTACGCATGTCATCTGTTTGAAAAGTCTCACACTGAATCTAGCGATGATAAGGAGGTGAGAATCCATAAGTGAGGTCTCGGGTTTAAATATAGGCACCATCCACCTGCCTCTGGGACGCTGTGATTTTCCTCCACCAGGATGGCCGTGGGACCGTGTTACAATCAGAAGTCAAAGATTGACTATTTGACTCCTGAAATATGAATTGAAGTATGTGTTTGATTGTTTGTCTTCATTGCTAGGGAATTGGCATATTGTTGTCGGGCTTGTTTGGAACTGTAAATGGATCTTCAGTATCTATGTGAGTCGAAAGACTACAACTTTTCAGCTTCTWATAGCAATTTTCCGAATTGATTTTGACTCAAAAACATTTCTTCGCTACCTTGCAGCGAGAATTCTGGTCTTTTGGGTTTGACCCGTATCGGCAGTCGAAGAGTCGTGCAGATTTCWGCCGGGTTCATGATCTTCTTTTCAGTTCTTGGCAAGTTTTACCTAACGAAACCACATGAATAACCCTATAATATTCAAGAATATTATTCATCATGAATTCATCTTCAATTTAATATTAGTGATATTTRTCATGAATAACAATAGAATAGTTGGTTCCCTGCTCTCAAAAGTATTKACGGTTTTCATTTGAACCTTCCCGGGTATCATATTCTRTAAAATCGTTAAACATGCTACATGATCATGCAGGTAAGTTTGGAGCAGTCTTTGCTTCAATACCGGCACCCATTGTTGCTGCTCTATATTGCCTTCTCTTCGCTTACGTGGGTAAGTTCATGTGAATTTCCAAATTCGTCCACTTCTTTCTCGCTTTGTTTGGTAGAGCYGAGGATAATTATGTCATTTCACAGGTGCGGCAGGCCTTAGTTTCCTTCAATTCTGCAATCTGAACACCTTCAGAACAAAGTTCATACTGGGATTTTCGGTCTTTTTRGGATTGTCTGTGCCCCAGTACTTCAACGAGTATGAAGCGATCAACGGTTACGGCCCTGWCCACACGTCTGCAAGATGGGTATGAATCGATTACTGTAACTGGCAAATATCTCCAAAATTTCAGTCTTTCTCAGACTGTTAGTCTGACTTTTGAGGTCAAACAGATTAGTAATAATTTTGAGAACTCACAAATCCTTTAGAATTATGAAGAAAATTGGATGGCCACATTAGGATCTATAGCAACCACCACAAATAGATGATTGAATTCTTAAAATTTGTTATAATATCTGTATCGATTTTCAACTTGAAGATTAGTAGGTTTGACCTAAAAGTCAAAGGGTGCCTCTATTTTGGGTTTCTGTAACCGAGGGTTGTAGCATTTCTGAGTGCGTTTGGTATGCATAGCATGATGGAACATGACTGAACAAAAACTTGTTGTCCCACGTTTGGAGCGATTATAAACTGGGACAGAACAGGACTGAGGGAGATGAAACCAAATTGGTAATTACCAAACTACCCTTGTCGAGATAAAAACCTAAAACCTTCCACAATTCTTTTACCTGCTAGTCTAGTCCCGTCTGCATATTAAACGCTCATTTCAGTTGTTGGAGTGAATGCCATTTACCTTTTTGCCATCATAATGACCTCGAATGATGTCATCTATTTCGTTTTATTTTGTAGTTCAACAACATGGTGAACGTTCCTTTCTCATCGGAAGCTTTTGTAGCTGCGTTGTTGGCGTATTTTCTGGATAACACGCTTCACTACAAAGACAGTTCCGTTAGGAAAGACAGGGGCAAATATTGGTGGGATAAGTTCCATTCCTTCAAGACCGACACCAGAAGCGAAGAGTTCTACTCATTACCCTTCAATCTCAACAGATACTTCCCACCCGTGTGATTTCCTTAGAAAAAAAGGTGCGGTCGAAAGGTTTGCTCTCTAACAACTCTGTTGTTTTTGTCACATATCTATCTAACTGTAATCGTGTCGTAAAGGTTCAATCCAGTCTTGTCCGAATGATCTGTTAGGACATTTGTTAATTCATTTGGTTTTTTTGCTGTAAAGTTTGTGGTCATTTTGTTGCTATCGTCTTCCAACCTTTGCAATAAAGTTGAAGGACTAAGGTTTAGAACGTAACTGTATAGTAGTTATAACCATTAATAGATAGGATTTGGAAGCAGTTATATCAGAATCAGAGATAACATCCAGAGCTTTGTTCCATGTACCGAACTGTGGTTGCACTACATAAGACTTGGTCAGATTTCTTCGGATCAAAGCTCTTATTCTATGACCAGATCTCTAGTTCCATTGTCCAGAGCTCTGATTGCTCTAACTCTAATTTGAACTAAGGCCTTGTTTGTTTTAAAAAAAGCACTTATTAGTCTCTTATGTTTGATTCATTAAGAGGTAGAGTCATTCAGACTGTTTGTTTTTTTCCAATCTTTTAGAGGCACTTATGTCTTCTTATATTCTTATCTGGTAAGAGACAAACCAATCTATTATTTGTTTCTTATTGTTCTCCAAACATTCAGCAAGGCGTTTCTCAATCGATCAACCTTGATCGATCATTTCTCAATCGATTCTTACCAAATCGATCCTTACCTCTCTCAATTGATGCGTTTTAATAGGATTTAAATATGTAAAATACCGTTAATGACATATTTTCTTTTAACTGAATACTAATTATATAATTTAGAAGTAAATTTTGTAACGAGGATGAATAAATATGTGAAATTGTGTAAATTTATTTATAAATTCAACATATAATTTTCTAATAAGTAAAATAGACAATCTAAACAAATTTAGACATTTATCAATTTGCAAAAATAAACAGTTTTCAACACAATCTTTTATCGATTAAAAGTGAAATAAGAAGATTTGAACAGATCTTAAAAAACAAATGTCACCTAAGAATTTTCAACGATAACTCAGAATTCTGATCAAGAGGACCAGAATTTTGATCACACCACCTCATATCTATACTTAGTGAAATTCCACTAAGCTCGAGAGCAATTTCAAGGAGGTTTCCAACCTCCTAAARTTAGTCTAGATCTTCTCGAAACTTAAAAATCACTAAATACAACTCCACATTTTTTTTTCATAAACCTCGGGGTGTCGCCCCTATGACCCCACGATGGGGGGCAACTCCCTTCACTCCCGTCCTTCAACGATCTAAGGTGATAGGGCCAATCATTTGTGAGTGTGCACTATACACCTCCTAACTCACTTTCTTTTCATTATCACTTTAAACCGATCTCAAGTAAACAATAATCACATTAAAAGGTTGATGACGTTAAAACCAAAAACATGAGCATTACAAGCTATAACCTTCTTAGAGGTCAATAGCCTAAGGACATCTTGTGGTTTATCTTAACTTTCTTAAGGGTCAATGGTTCAAAGCTCACCAAAGATGAAAGTCACATTGTTGGTGATGAGAGGGGCAAGCTGGAGTACCCTTGTCTCCACAATTGTAAAACAACAAAAACATGAGTCATGAGTGAATGAGTGTAGCCAGCATTAGCTCTTAATTAAACCCATTATTACCAAAAAGATAAAGGTACAAGTGGAAATTGAGCTGGGGTTAAGTTTTATATCTTTAATCACAATTATTAATTAACTTAGGCGTGTCATTAAAATAAAATAAATTTAATAATTATATCCTCAACCGACTTTATCCAATAACCTTTATTCACGATAATATAAACCCCGTCTCTTTCAATCTAATATCGATCGACTTATTACATAAATAAATAATTAGGAATGTATCGACTCAAATTCAGCATCAATATTTTATTAAATTATTCATCATCGATACATACATACACACATACATACATATATGTATATAAAGAGAGATATATTCAAACGAAAACAATGGTCAAATAAAATAACAGTCAAATCAAGTGTAGAATCACATGTGATTTTTACATTAACGGTCCATGTAAGGTAATGTGACACACGACCTCAGGTCGCAATCAAAGTCGCGTGAATCACATGTGGTTTTACACTAAAATCACATGTGATTCGACCGATTTTTATTTATCGTATGAATCTGAATATATATATATATATATATATATATA